AATCCAAATGGCCAGGTATTTTGTAAATTGTCTTTGAGAATTGATTTAATTTTTATAGGCTCTTTGCCACATAAAGGCATGCAAGATTGTTTTGGCTGAGATTAGGCAGAGCTGCAGAAGAAAGATACCTCTTCCTAGAATTTGTGTTACAAAAATTCTAACCTTGAGGTTGAGAGGTGCATAGTAGCAGAAAGATTGCAGAATCTTGCACAAATTCACTTCAGGTAACCAGAAACAAACAAACGTTGACTTTATTGAACAGCAAGAAATAGTGTTTGATATATTTCATTCAGAGCTGACATCTTATTTTTTACAATCCCAGACCTATCAACAAGAAATACATTGAACACCTACTATATGCTCAATAAACAGTTGTTGATTCAAAAGGCTGCTTGTTGCATGTACATTAGTACATTTTATTTTATTTTTTAAAGATTTTATTTATTTATATATGTTTTTTGAAAGGGGGAGTAAAAGGCGAAAGATTTATGCGATCTGAACCAGAGTAGGAGTACAGGACAGAGGGAGAGGAGGGAGAGAATCTCAAGCAGACTCCATGCTCAGGTCAGAGCCTACACAGGGCTTGATCGCACAACCTGGGGATCATGACCTGAGCTGAAACCAAGAGTTGGAGGTTTAACCAACTGAGCCACCCAGGCGCCCCTTAAAGATTTTATTTTTAAGTAATCTCTACACCTAACATGGGGCTCTAACCTACAACTCCTAGATCAAGAGTTGCATGGTCTACTGACTGAGCCAGCCAGGCGCCCTTAGTACATTTTAAACTCATTATCAAATAGCTCTTACTCACCAGTGTTTACATTATAAACATTTCACAGTAAGTGAAAATTTTAGTATTAAAAACTTCAAAATGGCTGGCTGTCATTAATCAAGTAAAAAAGCTGTTTGACTCGCTCCCGCTACCCGCTTTCACTGAAGATGGGGGAAAACGGAAATGCACATCTCCTGACAGCATGACCCCCTTAGTTGTAGGAAACGTACCTCAAATAACAGGGCTTTGTTTGTTTTTAGATTTCACGAACACGTGGGGACTGTTCCAGGCTACCCTTAGTATTGAATGGCGCGGTGGACTCGGAAACTTTCTAACCCGAGCGGCCTCTTTCAGCCAACGCACCAAAATCCAGGACTTAGGTTGTGAGCTTTGAAAACGGGCTTACAAACGCCGCAGCTCTGGAAGTCTGGCGCCTTCCCGCAGCACGCGCCCTGCCCAACCTGCAGCTCTGCGCGCTCCTGGGACTCCAGGGGACCGCGCGCGGGCCAACGACACCGGGCAGGAAGGGGCGGAGCCGGCGCAGCGGTGGCGGGAAAAGAGGCGCGCAGAACGGCACGCACCCCCTAGCCTGCCGCCAGCCGCCCTCCGCGTCTCAGAGCCCACAGCGGCGCCCGCGCAATGCCCGCCCCCGGCTCCGAGCTGCAGCGCCCGCCGTCGCCGCCCGCCGCGCAGAAACCGGGCTCCGAGCCGCAGCCGCCACCTCACGGGGAACTGCAGTACCTGGGGCAGATCGAACATATCCTGCGCTGCGGGGTCCGGAAGGATGACCGCACCGGCACGGGCACGCTCTCAGTGTTCGGCATGCAGGCGCGCTACAGCCTGAGAGGTGACCCCCGCGCGCCCCGGGGAGGGCGCGTGCGCCCGGGTGGGCTCCAAGCGGCCGCTGGGCGGGGAAGGCGCCTGGGAATGGCTGGGCTTTGCCATCAACCCTTGGTCCTAACCTGGATCCTGGGCGCTCCTTAGCCCCGCTTTGAAGACGCCAAAACAGAGGCTCGGGTTAGAGAAATGATTTGCGTAACGGCACGCGGACAGGAGTGACAGAAGTGGGAGGTGAAACCAGGTCCGTTGGGTCCGAGTCCTGTGCTCACCTGGTCGTGCTGTTTGCCCCACAGTGGCCACGGTCTGGTAGTGTTTGCCTCATACTAGAGAGTGTGAGAGTATCTGTCTGGGCTTAACCACGGACTTGGCTAGAAGTTCCCCTTTTTGGCTCCTCCTCCTCTCTCCCCCTTCTAGTCCTTCGGTTTGGCAAAGTTACTTAAAAATTGGAGCGAAGGAATAAGGGCGGGTCAACGGCGGCGGGAGGAGAGAGCGCGAACGGAGAGGCTGGGCAAGAACTTGTGGTTCCTGACAATTTTTCCGTCGGGTCCGCACGAACCAGCTTTCCTCTTAAACCTTGAAACAGGAACGCGAGAGTCCGAGTAGTAGTTCTTATTCGTCTTTTCCATTAAAACAGGATGGCTCCGGAGAAGTTTCTCTTGGCGGTTGTTAGAGTCAGGCTTTCGGGGCACAAAGAGACGGGTGTGGGGGCGGTGCACGAGACAAATATCCTGAGCACAGGTAAGGGGGTGGTTTTGAGTTTGGAGACGCACTATTAGTAAGGCTGATTCACTGTGGTGAGCAGGGGGAAGACGCACTATTAGTAAGGCTGATTCACTGTGGTGAGCAGGGGGAGGACCCTCAACCCCACACCCATTTTAGAGACTGGAAGGTACCCAGGCTGCAGGGTAGACAGGGATCCACCGCCGTGCAGCTCCACACAGTGGCCTCCGATGAGCTACAGATCTCGTTTTTACTCCAGTCCATCAGCTTAGAACGTGGGCAATTTACCTCTCTGGTCTTCAGCTTCCTCGTGTGCTTAAAATAGAGGAAATCATGCTCAGTGACAGTACCGATAAAAGTAGGTGCTTGAAAAATCTCTCCTTGTTACATGAATATCAACTATATAACTGATAAGGTGAACTGAATAGGTACTGAATTTAGAGGTAAGCTTTTACATTTTGATCTTCTCTGTTGCTTGATGCAAACTTATATATTCCCTCCTGGTGCCTGTAAAATGGAGATCTTAAGGATGCCTCAAGGAAGGTTGTTTTGAGGATTCAATAAGGTCATGCATATAGGTATTTAAACGGGTACTATTTTTGGTACATTTAAATAATAGAGGTTAATTTGCTTTGCAAATAATTAAAAACTATCCCTTAGCTTTGGTTAGTGTGATATCTACTACACCCAGACCTGAGCAAGTTTTTCCTGGCAGGATAATCAGGGAATAGCTCTGGGAGCCTTCAGCCTTTGTCCTAGGGCACCCTTTGTGTGTTGTCTTCACACCTCTGGGAAGGAATCACACTAACTGGGAAGCGGATGGTAGCTCTTTTCCTGTCCACATAGGCATCCCTGCCTGGCCAGTGCCCCATTTCACCACGTGGGTGGAATTCCTGTGGTGGTCAAGGGATTGAGGAGGGCAGTCTTAGTCTGAATTGTGTCACTGACTTGGACTGTAGCCTGGGAGCTCCACCCCGTTCTGGGGCGCCCATGTGATCAGAGTCACAGTTTTCTAGTTGGTCCTGTGGTTACGCAAGGGCCTTATGTCCCGGAGGCAGTCCTCCTCCACAGAGAAAGCTGGATGATCTGTTCTGTTTTCGCATCTTGAAATTATCGGGCAAACTGTTTTTCAGATGAATTTCCTCTGCTGACAACCAAACGTGTATTCTGGAAGGGTGTTTTGGAGGAGTTGCTGTGGTTTATCAAGGTAAGGAAGCTGCTGCTGTTGGAAATCAGCAGTCTGTTCTCAGCCCAGCACCGGGGAGATCCTTTTAAAAGTCCGATTATGTCACTTCTCACCTACAACCCTAGTGGATCGCAGTTCACTCAGTAAGATCCCACTCACCTGGGGCCCCATCCCAGCTCTGGCTTCAGTGAAGTGCCGCTCACTCTATTCCACTCACCTGGCCTCCTTGCTGATCTTTGAGTACATCAGGACATTCCCACCCAGGGTTCTGGCGCTTGCTAGTCCTGTTTCCTGGAACCTTCTTCCCCAACATGTAGCTCATGACTCACTCCCTCACCTCCTTCAAGTCCCTGCTGAATGAGCCTTCCCTAACCTCCCGATCTAAGACTGTGATTACCCCCCCACACACACACACACATCCCTCCCACCCTCCTTTGTTTTCTCCATAGAGAAACATCATCAGCTGATAGATAATGTCTGCCTTCTCCCTTTCCCCATACAAGGGGGGGAAGGTAGACAACAAATAAACAAGTAAAATGTATTAGGAGCTCCATGAGGGCAGAGAATTTGTTTTTTCCTAATCACGTTTGTATCCCCTGGGCCTAGAACACAGCCTGCCATATAGTAGGTACTCAACCTAGATTGATCATTGACTATAAATCCCAGCCATGTTTTCATATTGGTATAAGCTAGAAGGATCTCTTGAGTAACAAGCTATACCTCTTCCAAAGAGCCAAGTAGGTACCTCTGGCAAAGGCTAAAGTGCTGTGATGATGGACAGCTTCCTCTCACTCTGTCTCCTGCTCCAGACTAATGATATTCTCGCCAGTGCTGTTCAGAGGGTACCTGAGGAGACGGGCTCAGTTCTGGGTCATGTAGAAGCTGGGATCCCTTCTGCAAAGCACTCAGTGTGGCGTGTCTGGTCTTGGGCCAAACCAGACCCAAGACTTCTTACTGCATTTTAGAAAGAGTTTATTTCGATTTGGATCCAGTCCGGTCTTCCTTACTTTACGTATTCTCGAGGTGTTTTCTTCTGTGTTGTCTCACCTCAGCTGGCAGTGAGCGCCTAGTTCCAGGTGCATCATCAGAAATATCAGAAGAGGCCGTTTGTAAACCAGCCAGAGCCCAATCGAATGGATGAAGGGGAGGCATTAGAAGCGGTTTGGGAGGGAGCATCTGGGTGGCTCAGTGGGTTAAGCATCCAACTCATGATCTCAGCTCAGGTCTTGATCTCAGGGTCGTGAGTTCAAGCCCAGCGCTGAGCTCCACCTGGGCATGGAGCCTACTTTTTTTTTTTTTTTTTTTGAGATTTTATTATTTGAGAGAAAGAGAGCATGAGCAGAGGGCAGGGGCAGAGAGAGAGGGACAAGCAGACTCCCCGATGAGCGGGGAGCCCGATGTGGGGCTCGATCCCAGGACCCTGGGATCATGACCTGAGCCAAAGGCAGATACTTAACTGACTGAGCCACCCAGGTGCCCCCATGGAGCCTACTTTAAAAAAAAAAAGAGCAGCAACAGCAATATGGGAAAGATTGAAAAATGACTTATGGAGGTGAAAAAGATAGTACAAACTCAAAAACAGAAGGGAGGAAACGAGATGCTCAGAAATAAAATGCATTCACTGGTTTTATTTTAATTTAGCTTGAGTTCAGGAGTCTAAGTACTCTTTACCAGGAACATGCCAGACTCACCTCTGATAGATTTGCTCCCTGGGTGACTGGATGAAACACAGGAGTCAGGATGAACTGCACTGCAGCCGGCATCTGTGGGCAAGATGGAGACGTGGGGTCTGTGCCGAGGTTAGGATCTGTCAAGCACTGAGCACTTTGCTTATGTTTTCTAACCCTCACAGTAGATGTGTGGGGATGCAGCTGTGCTCTTCCGTGGGTGGGGGCAGGGAGCTGTCAGAGGAGAAGGGGGATGGAGGGCAGGCATGGTGTGTGTGGCAGCGCGTCATACACAGAGGCCGCTGAGGTCTGTCATTGACCTGAATGCACGATCAGGACACACGTTAGGATGATATGGGCCAAATCTAATGAGATGACGTAGAAGTAATAAACATTAGCTTGTACTTGGAAAAAAAACAAAGCCCCACCTTAACTGCAAATACAGGTTGGGGAGAACAACCTGACAGTGGCACATATGAGATAATGTGACTGATTGATTTGTAAGAAAAGCTGATACTGATTAGGCCAGTTAGTGAAATATCCTATGTGCCAGGTCTAAGATCCATTGAACAGATTGCAGGTGAGACATTAAATGCATTTTGGGGGATCACACACACGAAACACCTTTGGTTATAAAACACAAAACTGTTAGGTGAGGTGGGAACAATGAAAGGACTTGGAGGTGTTTAATCTAGAACATTTAGTTGAGGGGAAGAATCACCTGTCCTGGAAGTGATTCCAGGAGCCTGTCCTGGGGGCCCTCAAAAAGTCTGGGCTGGGACTGGCCCTTAAAGACGGGACACGCCATGCAGGACATGCTGAGTGCAGACAGGTATGTTAGCACAGGCCCGAGGCACAGTTGGTGGGCGGCTCTTGGGGTGGCACCTTCACCTGGATGCCTGCTCTGCTGTCCTGTCTCTTGCAGGGATCTACAAACGCCAAGGAACTGTCTTCCAAGGGAGTGAAAATCTGGGATGCCAATGGGTCTCGAGACTTCTTGGACAGCCTGGGATTCTCCAACAGAGAAGAAGGGGATTTAGGCCCAGTTTATGGCTTTCAGTGGAGGCATTTTGGGGCAGAATACAAAGATAAGGATTCAGGTGAGAAAACAGAGCGATGCCTCGGATTTTCTGAGCACTCATTGTAGCATAAGTTGGCCCCATTGTTTCAAGTGAAGTTGGGGGCCTAAGAAGCCAGTGTCTGGGGAGTTGATGTATAACTTTGAGGCTGTTTCAGAGTCAGGTAGAGGTCAGATCATACTCTTGGTTGTTAGCATTTATTGGGTGCTTGGTACTTTCCATACCGTATTTCATTAGCAGGTAGTGACATGGTGGGTCAGTTCGTTGCTGTGTTGGCCATAGGAAGAGGCCCGGGGATTGCCTTGCAGTGGCTTGATCTCCCTTTTTAAGGCTGAGCCACCCTGCACACTTTAGGTGGTGCTCATGTGATAGCAGCTCTTGGGTTACCGTCTTCTCCCTGCCCTCCTGGGGTGGAAGAAGGTGAACCATCTTATTCCAGGATGTCCACCTTCCTCAGTCACTTGGTGGCATCATTTGCCCCCATCCTTTGAACCTTCCTGTCCTGCCTGTCCATAGGTCAAGGGTTGCAAAAGCAAATGCCGACTTCCTCAGTGTGTGTGTGTGTGTGTGTGTGTGTACGCATGTGTGCACGCATACATTGGAAGTACTAGCTTGCTGGCTAGACTGAAATCTTTGATAATTTTAGCACCTGTAGATTTATATAAGCACCACAACCAAAATACAGAACCATACTATCACAGTGCATCTTTTTTAATCTTTGCTATTACTTTTTCTGAAGCTACGATCATGACAGGACCTTCTTCCCCCCAAAATTAACTACTGGACTAGAACATAGTCTGACCCCAGTAAGTGGAGGTTTAACCAGAGGGGATATGAAGCTCCTCACTTCTCAGACTTCGCAGCTTCCAGTTCCGTTTCAGAAGGAAGGCAAGGAATTAAAAGTCCAGAGACCAGAAATGGGAGAAAAGTACAACGTGGTGTGAGAGTTATAGTGATTTCTTGATAGTTATAAATCAGTAGGTGTTTGGCTGCTAAATTGTAATTTTGGGTGGAAGCGTTGGGAGAATAGCATCTAGACCAGAGAAAGGAATCCACCGTCCTCTGTTAGTTGGAGTGTGTGTGGAATGGTGTCTTCTATTTAAGATCTGATACGTTCCATGGCAGCAGAGTGCGATGAGAATGGTTGATGGGTATAGAGACAATCCCGTGGGGACCAGTGGAAGAAACTGCTGGGATTGGAGAAAGTTCGCAACAGGAAGGGGAGGGGTGGCACCATGACAGATCAGATATTTAAAGGACTCTTTTGTAGAAAGGAAAGTAATTTTGTTATGGCTCCAGAGGATAGAACTCATCATCACCCCACGAGAGCAGAGGAATTTGTAGAATGCCTTGGATATCTTGGAGCATGACCACGGGGGCGGGTAGGCTGTGGTAGGACAGTGATGGATGGCCTCTAAGGCCATCTCACGAGATGCTGTGATTGACATGTGGGCGTGTCTTCTCTTGACAATTCCACAGATTATTCAGGTCAAGGAGTAGACCAACTGCAAAAGGTGATTGACACAATCAAAACCAACCCTGACGACAGAAGAATCATCCTGTGTGGCTGGAATCCAAAAGGTGAGAAGCATCCCAGTTACTCTCGTGTCCAAACTATACTACTAGCACAAAGGGAAGCCCAGTGGCTTTGCGTGGAGGCCACCAATAGAAGGCTGGACCCTGGGAACCACCCCCAGCCACATGGCTGGTGTGACCCTGGGCAAGTCACTCATGGCCCCATTTTCACCTTCAGATGATGGGGTTGGACGAAGATGATCTTAATGTGTGTATTTATACTTCTTTTACTCCAGAGAGGGCTTTAAATTACCTATAAAAATATACCGAAGGTTTTAACAGTTTAAATTGGGGCAGATGAAGTTTCATATCTTCTCCACCTGGCTGTTAACATTTTAACAGTTATATCGTAAAATTAAACTCTACCAAGGTGTACTAAATATTACCCAGAGTGGAATGTTTGCTTTTCGAGTAGAGACTTTGAATACAGGAGGGTGTGCCTGGGATGCCGGTTTCCTGTGGCCCCTGGGAATGTATGAATTCCTCCTGCTTGTAGTTTGGTGCCACGAAGGCAGCACAAGTAATTTCGGCTGGATGAGTGTGGCTTTCACTGTGAAAATACATCTTCAGACATCTCATGTTAATGGATGGGTCACTGTAGGCGTGGTGCCGTCCCCAGGATTGGAATGGTCTGCTTTTGACCTGGAGGGCAGTGTGGGTCATGGGAGTCACTGGCCTGGTGGCCTGTTCTCGTGCTCTCCCCCGCAGGAGTTGGCTTCTGTTTCTCTCCTGTCTTGTGTGTGGCTGCGTTCTTTAAAACCACCCACGCGCCTCATTTTCCTTTGTGCTGGCTCCTCAGATCTTCCTCTGATGGCCCTCCCTCCGTGCCATGCCCTCTGCCAGTTCTACGTGGTGAACGGTGAGCTGTCCTGTCAGCTATACCAGAGGTCGGGGGACATGGGCCTGGGTGTGCCCTTCAACATCGCCAGCTACGCTCTGCTCACCTACATGATCGCGCACATCACGGGCCTGAAGGTGGGCTGTGCCTGGGAGGGAACGGTGCCTACCGGCCTAAAGCACTGAGCTCTTAGGTTATTTAATGTGGAAAAACTAATTGCAGAGAAGTCAGTGTCTGGTTAGTTCTAAAATGTGATCCGTGTTAAGAAACGAAGCTGCTCACCTGGCAGCCTCCCAGGGAGCTTTCTTTGCGGTCTGGATAAGCAAACAGGTTTCTGTGGGTTATTTTATAAGACAAGACAACTTTTGTGAACATCAGCTTTTCTCAGAAGCTATGCTGGTGAAATTGTTTTCTGAAAAGGCTTGGAATGTCTGCATAGTCTACATAATGTGCTTTCAAATGATGTGTCTGAAAGGAATTGAAACTAAAACATTTGCCATTTTGCTTGCTCCCATGGGATTTAGCCAGGTGACTTCATACATACTTTGGGAGATGCACATATTTACCTGAATCACATTGAGCCGCTGAAAATGCAGGTAAGAATGATATGTCACACTTCGGTACCTCCTCTTGATAAGCGGTTGCCTTCTAGAACATCCCTCATGTAACAGACCTGCTCTGCGCTGGGGCAGAGCTGAGATGCCCTGCTCCGACTGCAGGGACTGGCAGTGGGCAGGTGGGCGGGGACAAGGCAGACACAGCCACCACAGGCACTTCATGGGACCGCTACTGTGAGATGCTAAGCCAGTACAAGAGAGGGAGAGCCCATATTCGGACCAGTGGGTTTGGGAACCTTCCCAAAGGTAGCATTTCAACTCATTTTTAGTTCGAGAATTTAAATGGTGATGTTTTCCCTTCATATTATGTTAAATACCACACATAGGTATTAACTTTCAAAAGTCTGTCCAAATCCCATGTTACGCCAGCCAACAAGTGATTTGAAACAGCAATTAAAATACGAGTGTCTCAATGGAATATTATGCAGCCATCAAAAGGAATGAGATTTTGCCATTTGCAACGACATGGATGGAACTGGAGGGTGTTATGCTTAGTGAAATAAGTCAGAGAAAGACATGTATCATATGACCTCACTGATATGAGGAATTCTTAATCTCAGGAACAAACTGAGGGTTGCTGGAGTGGTGGGTGGTGGGAGGGATGGGGTGGCTGGGTGATAGACATTGGGGAGGGTATGTGCTACAGTGAGCGCTGTGAATTGTGCAAGACTGTTGAATCACAGATCTGTACTTCTGAAACAAATAACGCAACATATTTTAAGAAAAAAGAAAAAGAAGAAGATAGCAGGAGAGGAAGAATGAAGGGGAGTAAGTCGGAGGGGGAGACGAACCAGGAGAGATGATGGACTCTGAAAATCAAACTGAGGGTTCTAGAGGGGAGGGGGTGGGGGGATGGGTTAGCCTGGTGATGGGTATTAAAGAGGGCGCATTCTGCATGGAGCACTGGGTGTTATGAACAAACAATGAATCGTGGAACACTACACCAAAACAAATGATGTAATATATGGTGATTAACATAACAATAAAAATTAAAAAAAAATATGAGTGTCTAATGCTCAATGAGCCGAAGGCGGGGGGATTGAACCAAACCCTTTTAGCCCCTTCCAGATGAGATCCAGGTTTTGAAAGTTCCTCCTTTGTGGGAGCTTGGCTGCTTTTGTATAGAGGGCGACTTCGGGGTTTGTGCAGTTGCTTCTCCGGTTGTCTGTTCCACTTATGCTGGACAGAGTAATGTGAGGTTGGAGCCTGTGCCCACGTCCCCATTGCCACCATCTGCTCCTGCCAGGGACCCCGGCTTGCATCCCTCTCTGTTGTCAGCAGATGTCATCTTGCCTCACCCTCTGCCAGGGACAGTTGAGGTAGGGATTATGGGACTCAGACGACCATACTTGAGCGCCCACCTGGAGTTACAGATACAAAAGTGAAAGGCTGTGTCCTGTCCTTCATAAATTTACCAAGAGCTGTCAGTTAGAAGATGAGCCACACGGCTCCTGACGCTCCTGACGCAGTGGGATGCCGCAAAAGATCCTTCAGTCTCTCTGTGTGGGAGAGAATCCGTCCGTTACATTCCAGGAGTGTTGTTGCCTAAGCAGGGGCAGGTGTCTGCACTATTACACTCCTGTGAAATATTTTGTTGATAAAATACTGTGTACTTGTTTCACAGGGAGAATTAAAGCAGGTTGTACAGATAATGACAAGATAATTTTCTCCTATTGTTTTTAGCTTCAGCGAGAACCAAGACCTTTCCCGAAGCTCAGAATCCTTCGAAAAGTTGAGACAATTGATGACTTCAAGGCTGAAGACTTTCAGATTGAGGGGTACAGTCCTCACCCGACTATTAAAATGGAAATGGCTGTTTAAAGTGCTTTTAAAGGAGGTATTTGAAGGATATTCCGCCTGTAGGGGGTTGGACTAAGTGCCCAGGTGAAAGCCCTAGAGGAAGAGGGAACTAGGTCAAAAATCTCTTGGCGACCAGCAGTTGTTATTAACTTGTAAGGATGTTGCCACTGGCAAACAGAACCTTGCCTGTTCTCTTAGTAACAAAAGGCCTTGAGTTTGGTTAGCTCACTGAGGACATGTGAAAATGCCGAGATTGGGAATAAAGAAGTCAGGAGAATAAAAACTGGAATACTCTTAAAACGTGTACATGCATTTCAACCCCATTTTATGAAGGTCCGTGAATTTCAAGAATTACACATCAGCTCTTCCCCAGATTTGAGCAAGCTGAATAACACCAGCATTCATAATAATGTACAGTTGTGGTTATGAACATTTAAAGTTACTTGCTTTATATATTGCTATAATAAAGGTGTGTTCTGCATTTGAGTTCTGCATTCATCTGGTTTTTTTTGTTTTTAAATTTTTTTATTCTATATTGCCATTCTGCTCACTCCTGCCTAAAATAGATTTAACTGAACCCTCCTAAATAAATATACTCTATTCTTGTTTGGATACTGCTTAGAGGTTTGGTATATTTGGGAAACGGTGACTAAACTGTATTTTGCCCTATTTTTCTGTGGTTTGTCTAATTCTGGCTGCATTTTATCATTAGCACATAATGATTATTGAGGATAAAGATTTAAGGGTTATGGAAATATAATGTATGAAATTCCATTTTCCTGCCCATTACTGCTACTATGGTTTCAGTATGGTGTGAATCCTCTACTAATAAACTTAGACCGAGCAAGAGTAGAAAGGCTAAACCACTCCAGGGCTAATCTGTGAAATCCTTTTACCTTTGTTGTGCACCAGATATCCCACAGTACTGCAGAACTATTTTTACCCTGCTAATTTTTAACAAGCGTTAGATAGAATAAGGCATTGTTCCAACAATTACGCAACCTGCTGCTTATTTTCAAAGTATAATTTAATGTCCGGGTACAGCACTTGGTAGAAATTTTGTAAGAACATCTTTCTGGACTTGGAGGTAAATCTAAATTTGTTTAAGGATTAATTAGGAGAATGTGTGTTTATTTGCTAAAAGAATCAAGTAATAATGACGACTAAGCTGATTCCTGAGGTTAACAGGACTTTCAGCTGAACTTGTTTTGATTGCTACGATTTCTTTCCCCTGTTTTTGTAAAACCACACCCAAAAAGTGGTTAAGCCTTTTCACTTAGGAAAGGGTGTAAGGGCTGAACATTTAATTCTCTTGAGCAGCAAGGAGTTTTTTCCAGACTTCCCCATGTGGATACTGGTGTTTCTTTACAGATTCCTCCTTCATTTCTGTTGAATAACCAGCATCCTATCAAAGACAAAAAATTTGAGTATTAATAACCGCCTGGAACAAAACTCATACATGTATTTCTGCTGTTCATAGAAATGCTGTTTTTGGATTATTTGAAATGGGGAAGGGTATACTTTATTGGCGGTGTCTCAGGATTAAATAATCACACTTCCTTTGACAACTCAACCTCTGTTGGTGAAAATGAGCCCTGGTGTCTTGAACATGATGAAGATAAATGGTCCAGATTAACACAACCGCAGTCTAAACATTTCAGTTCACTAACTTGCTAGGTGGTGCCAGGTTTGGTTTTGGGTTTTTTTTTGGGGGGGGGAAGGGGGTTTGCACAAGAAGTGTACGTTTTAAGGTCTCAGCTGGTGTTGGGAAGAAAGGCTGGCATTAGTGAAGGCTTGTCGGGGCAATTTCACCCTCAACCCCTGACCTCAGGCCTTGGGAATCTGATATTGCTAACTGAAGAGCCATTTGTAATTTCTAGATACTGAAAATAAGCTCTAAGGAGACAGCTTTGTGGTCTAGGGTCTAACTCACAAGAACAAGTATACCAGGGGCTGGAAGCTCCTTGCTTCCTCAGGGAGGCCTCTGGCCAACCTCACCTTAGGAGGCATGTAGGACGCTTTCTTGATGACCACAGGATACCTGAAATGTTCATGCAGGTGGTTGACATATTCACACATCCTAGGAGGAAGGAATCAGATTAGGGCAGTAATGTCTTATGTTAGATCATTCATGTGGTACTGTTAGAGCAAAGGGGTGAGCACCACTGAAGAAAGGGTGGACTTGATCGGGTGCGTGTTTCTATGCAAATCTCTCAACCTCTGCCTCAGGTTCTCTCCCTGTAAACTCAGGCAGTGTGAGGCTTGGGTGAAGTCTCCTGTGGGTGGGTACCAAAAGTCTCGTAACTCTACAGATGGTCCCCGACTCACAGTGGTTTGACTTAAGATTTTCAATTCCATGATGAAGCAAAAGCCATATGCATTCAGTAGAACTGTACTTCAAAGTTTGAATCTGGATCTTTTCCCAGCTTGTGACGTGTGATGTTGGCCTGTGGCCACAGCAGCCCCCAGTCAACCACGCCCTCACTCGGGTCAACAACCAATACACTAACAACTGTTTGTACCCATACAACCATTCAGTTTTACACTCTCAGTACGGTATTCGATAAACTACACAAGCTATTCAGCATTTTATTATAAAATAGGCTTCGCGTCAGATGATTTTGCTCAAGTATAGACTAATATAGGTGTTCTGAGCATGTTTAAGGTAGGTTGGCTGGGCTAAGGTATGTTCAGTAGGTTAGGTGTATTAAACATTTTAAAATATATTTTCAATATATTAATATCAATATTGATAAATATATTACTATTTCAATATACTATGGTGGGTTTATTGGAATGTTAAGCTATCTTAGGCCAAGGAAGATCTGTAAAGGTTTTGTGACCCCCAAAGATAGCCATTTAGGCTCCATAAGTATCTGGGATTATTTGGGTGCCTTTAGCCAAAGGTCAGATGAATAGATTAAAATCACCCAGTGAGATCCCAACCAGCTACACACACGAGTTAGAAAAAAGAGCACAGGTTTTACTATCAGACCAATCTGTTCAAATTTGGGTCAGCCACCCTCTAGTTTTGTGACTTGGGGCAAGTGACCTAACTCTGCTGCCTTACTTTGGTCATCGGTTAATAAAACAGCTAGGACAGGCAGCCCAGGTGCCCGGTGCCGGCCATTCCCAAAGGAACTGGCAAGACGGGGCTGCATGGTTTCAGAGGACACAGATACCAAGTTATCGACTAGAATATGCACTATGTATAATCTACAAAGAACAGGCTACAGGTGAAGAACCAGCCCCATGGGAGAGGATGTTCTGGCCTTGAAGAATGAGCAGAAACGGGTGTCCCACGCGGTCACAAAGCTGGGGTGCAAGCGGCGCCTGGCGGCTGCCCCGCTCACACACCAGCATTCCCGTGCAAAGGGGCGACATTCCTGCACAGGGCGGCGGCAGGAGGCACTCTCGCCCACTTGTGGGTAGTCACAGCACACCGCGCTCAGCGCTGGCCCTTTTCTCGGCCCTCAAGACTGACAGGACCTTTCAAGTTGGTCCGAACCTCCCCTTAGTCCCACCTTCGGGACTGAAATGGGACAAAAGCAGAATAACCTAGGAATGTTCACTTTTTATTGTACAAAATATTTCAGACATAAAAGGCACCATCTATGTACTCACCCCCATCTTAAGAGAAAAACCGTTATCACTGAGGCTCCCATCAACCCTCATAGGCCCCATTTCTCACCCACGGCCCCGCATTTGGTGTTGATCATTCTCCTGTACGTATTTAGGCTGCCGCCATATAAAGACCATGGCCAGTGATCCTTCTGTGATATCACATTTAACTCCAGGAGTCAATAAAGCCATATGTGGGGGTGCCTGGGTGGCACAGTCGCTTAAGCAGCCGGCTCTTGATTTTGGCTCAGGTCATGATCTCAGGGTCCTGGGACTGAGTCCCACACCCTGCTCTATGCTCAGCAGGGAGTCTGCTCAAGCATTCTCTGTCCTCCTCCCTCTTGCCCCTGCCCCTGCTTGCTCTCTCTCTCTGAAATAAATCTTAAAATAAAGCCATATGTGTGCAGATGACTGGAAGACTGTCTTAAAGTTCACCTGGGACACACTGAGAAATAAGGTGGTACTAGATGCGGCCAGATTACAGAATACTCCAGCGCTGGGACCAGGAGATTGGACAGAAGCAGAGAATATACGTATGATGAAAGCAAGGCTTTAGAATGGAAGGAGTTCCGGGGGCACCACCTGGGTGGCTCAGTCAGTTAAGTGTCTGACTCTTGATCTCAGGGTTGTGAGTTCAAGCCCTGCTGGACTCCATATTAGGTGTGGAGCCTACTTAAAAAAACAAAAAACAAAAGGAGTTCTGGCTGCCCCCGGGGTTCTACCCAACCCACGCACCATCTCGTACTTAGAAAACAAAGGCAGCTACCACGAACCCAGTCCTCTGAAAGAAAAAGATCTATTCACTGCTGGGGCTCCAGTGTAATGGCCCCCTGGGAAAAAGTGGAAGCAAAGTCAAGTTGGCCTTTGAGTTATAGGACGTGGCAAAGCAGAGTTCTTGGTGCCTCTGGTCTCCAGAGCCGAATTTTACAAAGTCTGACCTGACTGAGGGACGCTACCGAAGTTAACTCCACATTACCTGTTCTCAAGGCTTGCAGAAATGGAGATGAAATCAAATATAATCAGGTGCTGAACCAATTCACAGAGGCCAACTCCACCGGCATGAGGGCAAACGGGAACTACAATAAAGACAGATTTCTATTTAATGCCTAGGGGTGGGAGTGGGCGGATGAGAGAGCACCTGCGGTGATTATGGTGATTGCCCGCCCGTGATTACATCATTCATTATGATCTAGGGATGAAGATAGTCAAAGATTCCCTGATCAGGCCGAAAAGAGAGTCCCTCCAGAGGGACCCGCCGGTGTGCGGTGGGTGGGGAAATGGAGGTTTGGTGCACGGCTCCCGGGGCGCCCTTACTTTCAAACTTTTTGGCCATCAGCAACACCGAGAGGTTTTCATTGACACTTCCCAGCCTGCAGCTGTCAATCTGGAGAAACTGCAGGGCTTTTGCTTGTAGGAGTTGCTTAAATATCACTCTATTGTGGCACTGGAAATAGAATTGAAATAAAACCAGCGGAAGAGTTAACGTGGGCCTTCAGGAAGCCCGGGCTGTATTTATCCTTCCCTCTCACCTGGCACGAAGCAAGCCCTGACAATACAGGCCGGGGACCTGACTGCTCACTGCTTCCTAAATCTGCCAGTGGAAGGGTGTGAGTCACGCAAAAGTCCCACCGCTTGATATCTATGAAGGAATAACGGAGCGGATGGCAAGTGGGAGGTGAAGCAAAGCATCAGGGTGGAATGTAGTGATGGCGGTGAGCAGGTAGCTTGGACGACCAAAAACCAAAGGCTAGCCAGCATTGCTCCTTTTGCTGGGCAAACTGAAAATCTCTTCCTTCACACTGCTCTGCTCGTGGGTGGACTGCCACAGGTTTTGGCAAGCATTGGTGCTTCGTTTATAAGCACAGAGAGTGAACGCAGTAACGTTTATTCAATTTGGCAGCTGGCTTTCTTAAAACCATACGGTGTGTCTCATGCCCTTGCAGGAGCAACTTTAAACTTCTGCCTTGTAAATTTTGATTAGATACTTTGGGAAAGATACATGGCCTTACATCATATGAATTGTAGGTAAAGGGACAAAAACTTTTGACTGTCTCCGACTCCAGACTCTACCGATGTGCTGTAAAACATCCCAAGTTCAGAGATTAAGAAAACTTCCCCACTCAAAATAACACAGGTGATGGAGCCTGATGTACACCAGTGTCCCCAGTGGGTGGCCGGTGTGTACTGACCCCAAGGAGAGGTCACTTACCTGTTCTCCGGTGGCAATGCCAATTCCTAATGGGACCAGTGCCTATAAAATATAAGGCAACTTGATGTTATTTTCCTGAGTCTTTGAACTGAAACTCCTAATGTTTAAAACTATTTACAGCTGTTTCACCACTTAGACGTTGTGGTGTTCTTACAGTTGCTCTTCACCACTTGAAGAAGGAAACGTCCCTGCTGGGGGGCTGTGTGAAGTTTTAGGAATGGCAGAAGATCAGCAAGGGGATTATGTGTGCACACAGGAGGGGCTTGTTCCTATGCTGCCATTAGCTCCTCTCCTGCTAGAGCTCTGCAGATTCTCCCCGCCGCCCCCCTTCAGTGGGTGTTCTAGAACCCTCTCCCTTCAAGCTTAGCGAGTGGCCTTAGATCCACTTTACCGGTCAGGCTGAGCTCATTCCTTACCTGGTGAAATCCTCACCTGGCGAATGCTGGAGTCTCCTGAACAGAGCACTCTGCTCTCTGTCCTCCCACCTGAAGCGACCTCACCCCACCCCGGCCCCAGGCTGCTCCCCTCATGCCCCCACTGGGATCACCTCGGGCACCTGTGGTTTCTCCCCAGCTTATCTTCCCGTTGTTTAGGGAATAATATCCAGGGCACTGCAAGCTAACACTGTCTGAGCTCCTACCACCTGTCCGGTGCCGTGTGAAACCCTGCCTGAAATGACTCCTTGTCACAGCCTATAGGGACAGGAGTCACCATCATCCCCATCTCACAGGGGAATGAGAAACAGGCACAGGGCTGGTAACCGTTCCCGGATCACAACGCTAGAAAGGGTAGGACCAAGGCTTGAACTCCAGAGCCAGGGGACGCTTCTGAACCACTAGATAGGAAAACTTCCCTGCAGGAAAACCCTTAATTTAGGAGCCAGGTGCCCCCGATCCTGCTACCTGTCCTGCCTCTATGTGTGGATGTGGGTGAGTCATGGACAACCCAAGCCTCGGCCTCCTTGTCCCCAGGTGAGGAGTTAGAGTGGATGGTCAGTGGGGCACCTTCTACCTTCCTGGTTTATGCTTCCAGAAACCTCTAATTTAAATGAGTGCCGTTCTCTATCTCAAAACAAAAACCAGAGTGGGAAAAAATAGTAGAGAAGGAAGAGAGCCATTTGACTTATTCATTCTACCATTTTAAAAAGCATATGTTTCTGACACTAAATACATACCAACTCCTATTTCTTCCTTTTAAATATTTCCTGAACGTGCTCTAGTCTAGCTGCCCTGTCCCTTCCCCGCCTGCCCTCCTAGATTACTGGGAAAGCCTCCTAGTTCTGTTCTCTGCCTCCGGTTTCTTTCTGCCTGTTCCACACTCCCCTGTACTGCATCTCAATCCATCCTACATGTTTTTGCCAGTCAAATCTTCTTTGACCCATTCTCTCCTTCAAGACGCTATGGTGGCTCACTGTGTTGGGCGGCATCTTCTGTGCAGATGGACCCATCACCCAGACCCAGGGACCTGTCTTTCCCACAATGCCCGACGTGCACCTGCCCTCCGCTGGGGATCTCCTCGGCCCCACCTGTGCCGGCTGACTCTGCAGCTTCCCCCTGCCTCCGGCTGTCTGTGCCCCCGTCCTAGGATACCTCCTGAGGGGACAGCCTTCCCCCGTCCCCTGTTGTGCTTTCACAAACAAAACCTCAGAGGGCTGAAGCCCCAAAGAGCTTCCAATGAGACTCTCTGGGCGAGGGCATGTGTTGGGGGGGTGCAGGTCCCTGTGTGGGCAGGTGGGCAGCACTAGGGCGTGGCTACCCCCCCAAAGAACCCCAAGGTGAAAGTCTTCATCAAACCATGGCCTCTGACCAGATTCTCAGAAGTTTTCAGGTCTGTTTAAACCAACACGGTACCCTGTGGCTCCTGCTCGTCCCCTAGAACGTGACACTGCCTGTCCTCAGAGTGAAAAATTTCAAATTAGGGGAGAGTATAGCAATGAAGAGTCACCTCAGGGGGAAATCTGCTCCAGGCAGGCAGGAATGGCCTGTAAGGCCCGACAGCACAGTGTTGGGGGGAAAGGGGCATCAGAGGAAAACATATAAGGGGAGTTAGGGGTAAGTGCTGGTCAGGAAGGGGGAAGGCTTCGTGCCAGGAGCAGGCACAGCCACGTTCTGTGGATGGATGCGTGGGGCTCCCCGGACCAACACCATCGCATATTCAAATCACACAACCCGTTTCTGCCCCGGATTCCTCTCATCCAACAGCCTTTGGTTTAATGTGGCTCCTGGTGGAGCTTGCTCTGGTCAGAGGGTACGGACATCTAGTGCTCCCAGAAGTTGGGAGTTCTCCTCAAAAGTGACCCGACATTCTGGCTTTATGTATTTCAGTGCTGGACACTGGTGAAAGGGAGACACTTCCTGAGAAAGGATGTTCCTCAGATGTTCTGACGTATCAGGGTCTCCCTAAACCCGAAAGGTGGGGAGGCCGGGTGGATCTGTGCAGGCGGTGCCCTGGTGCAAGGGCTCTAGGCAGCCTCCGGGGGGGGGGGGGCTGACATTGGCATTAGCTAAGCAAACCTTTTCTTTTGGGTCAACCAGAGGAATCTACACTTTTGTTTCATTCGGGGTGAAAAAATATTTTAGTATCAGTCAGGTTTCTCTATTTACAAAGTATGGAGTCGTGTCTATTAATCTTTGGATTGCTGGCAGACTTTCAACTTTTAGCAATTTACTGTCTCTAAAATAAAGAGAAATGTAAAAGGAAATAAGCAAAGGAGCTTTAGGATCTATCATGGCCACTCCAGAAAACCAACCAAACAACAACAAAAATATATAGCGGCAGGAGCAGGAGCAGTTTTTCTACCTCGGAAATGGCTGCGTGTCCCAGAATGTCATCAGGGGAGGTGGGCTCCTCAATCCACAGTGGCTTGAACTCAGCCAGCTTTGACATCCACTCTACCGCCTCGGGCACATCCCAGCGCTGGTTGGCATCCATCATCTGCAGGGAGAGAGAGAGAGAGAGAGAGAGAGAGAGAGAGAGAGAGAGAGAGAGGCCCTCCACCGCGAGGTCTGCCTGGTGCTGACCTGTGCCGGGCTATGGCTCTCAAGGACGAAATGCTGTCACTTGGTGCCCCCGACTGCTGAGCAAGACTTCTGGAGGGAGCCCGACATGTCCTCTGTGGAGGACCAGCATTCAGACAGCATGAAGGTGGCCAAAGAGCTGCCACCAAGACTGGAACTGTGGCTCCAGATGTGTCTTCTGACAGGGCCACTAGGATGTCTGGAAGTGCCCTGGGCTGGGCCCAGGAGAAGTGCTCGCTGGCCCTGGAGCTCTGGCCCAATCTGCACTGAGGTGCCACCCAATTGCATCTGTCTTGCAGTATCCATTGTTCTGGAAACTATTTTATCACATTCCAAATCAGGCCTCATCAATTCTGAATTTGTTCACCAGTCATTTTGACGCTTGCCAACTATGAGTCTGGCACAATAATACATAACCCAAACTCTACCATTGATGAAGTACCTAGCCAACCGGACAGTTTATGGATTTTGTCCCATTTAATATTTAGAACTCTATGAAGCAGTTCATATTAACCCAGTTTACAGAAAAGAAAGCTGGCATGCAGAGAAGTTAAGGAACTTACCAAAAACATAAGTCACGTAAATGACAAGTTCAGGGCCAGGCCTCTAACTCCCAGGCCCTGGCTCTCTGGAAGCCAGGTCCTGGGTGTGCAGACACCAAGAAAGGGCCTCTCCACCCTTGACATTATCACGCTTGATGACAGACATGGGGATGGATATGTCCAGTAGAAAGTGCTAACTGGTATATGAGTTCCCTCAGGGGCCACTGTGAGGACCAGAGGACAGTACAGCTAGAATCGCGTTGTATCACAAGTCATTTGGATAAGGACGGCCCCATAAGACAAAAGTCATGTTAACTCGTGCATAAATAGTGGCACTTCTGATCCTAGGTCAAGGATTCAACTGTTTCTGTTAACTTATGAAACATGCCTCCAAAAAGCATAAAAATATCTTACTGTGACTTTATAAAAATATTTTACACATAGTAAGAAACATCTTATAAAAATATGTAGTGAGGAATGACTGATCCTTACATTTATCTCTGCAAAAGTTCGGCATTTCTTCCACCTTGGCTCCCTGAGACTGGCCTACCTGCTGAACCAGGCAGGATGTATTTAAGAGAAATTAAATAATGACACAGGAGGGCACCAAGGGGGGACCTGTTTGCTCAGGTGCATCCGTGCTAGCAAGAAGGAACAATCTCTAACCCGGATCTTACTTAGGGAGTTCTGCAGAGCAGACACATTTAAAACTATCAGCTCCTTCAGTTTTTTTTTGTTTTTTTTTAAAGAGTTCACCCGTTGCAAGACCACACAGCTGTGCCTCCTCTCACATTCGGCTTTAAAATTCCCAACGAGGGGGGCCTGGGTGGCTCAGTCATTGAGCGTCTGCCTTTGGCTCAGGTCATGATCCCAGGGTCCTGGGATCGAGCCCTGCATCGGGGTCCCTACTCTGTGGGAAGCCTGCTTCTCCCTCTCCCACTCCCCCTGCTTGTGTTCCCTCTCTCCCTGTCTCTCTCCGTCAAATAAATAAATAAAATCTTAAAAAAAAATTTAAAAATTTCTAACGTTCTTTAATCCTTGCTTGAGATGAGCTGTATTTGGCCCAGGACACAGGTTTCATGTGAGCTGCTCTTTCTCAATGGGAGGAGAGGACATTTACCAACGTCTTCTCAGGTCCAATCATGTTTCGGATGAGGCGGCACCTGCGGATGTCATCCTGGAGATCAGCACCCACTTTTACCTTAAACCTATAAAAGAAATGTGGTTTGGGGGTTGAGATCTGTCCCCTGACATGGCAAAGACACGCGGGTTCTCTGCCTCCGCCGACAATTCATAGGTGACTTCTAGTAACCTCTTGCCTCTCCCCCGGTTGGTCTCAGACAAGCCACTTTGAGGGGCGCTTGGGTGGCTCAGTCGTTAAGTGTCTGCCTTCGGCTCGGGTCATGATCCTGGGGTCCCGGAATAGAAACCCATGTGGGGCTCCCTGCTCAGTGAGGAGTCTGCTTCTCCCTCTACCACTCCCCCTGCTTGTGTTCCCTCTCTTGCTGTCAAATAAATAAATAAAAATCTTTAATAAAAAAAAGACAAGCCAGAGGCCGGCTCTCGCAACTCAAGATGGCGGACGAGAGTGAGACAGCAGTGAAGCCGCCGGCACCTCCGCTGCCGCAGAGGATGGAAGGGAACGGAACGGCCATGAGCACTGCACCGATTGCGAGAACGAGGAGGAAAACAGCTACAGCCGGGGTGGTTTGAGTCCAGCCAATGACACTGGAGCCAAAAAGAAGAAAAAGAAACAAAAAAAGAAGAAAGAGAAAGGCAGTGAGACAGATTCAGCCCAGGATCAGCCTGTGAAGATGAACTCTTTGCCAGCCGAGAGGATCTAGGAAATACAGAAGGCCATTGAACTGTTCTCAGTGGGTCAGGGGCCTGCCAAAACCATGGAGGAGGCTAGCAAGCGAAGCTGCCAGTTCTGGGACACGCAGCCTGTCCCCATACTGGGAGAAGTGGTGAACACCCATGGGCCCGTGGAGCCTGACAAAGACAACATCCGCCAGGAGCCCTACACCCTGCCCCAGGGCTTCACCTGGGATGCCTTGGACCTGGGGGACCGTGGTGTGCTCAAAGAGCTCTACGGCCTCCTGAATGGGAACTATGTGGAGGACGACGACAGTTATGTTCCGGTTCGACTACTCCCCGGACTTTCTGCTGTGGGCTCTCCGACCACCTGGCTGGCTCCCCCAGTGGCACTGTGGGGTTCGAGTGGTCTCAAGTCAGAAACTGGTTGGGTTCATCAGTGCCATCCCGGCGAACAGCCACATCTATGACACAGAGAAGAAGATGGTGGCGATCAACTTCCTGTGTGTCCACAAGAAGCTGCGCTCCAAGAGGGTGGCTCTGCTCTTGATCTGGGAGATAACCCGGCGAGTTCACCTGGAGGGCATTTTCCAAGCTGTTTACACTGCCGGGGTGGTATTACCAAAGCCTGTTGGCACCTGCAGGTACTGGCATCGGTCCCTAAACCCACAGAAGCTCATTGAAGTGAAGTTCTCCCACCTGAGCAGAAACATGACCATGCAGCGTACCATGAAGCTCTACCGACTGCCAGAGACGCCCAAGACAGCTGGGCTGCGACCAATGGAAAAAAAGGACATTCCAGTAGTGCACCAGCTCCTCACCAGGTACCTGAAGCAGTTTCACCTCACACCAGTCATGAGCCAGGAGGAGGTGGAGCACTGGTTTTACCCCAGGAGAGTATCATCGACACTTCCGTGGTGGAGAACGCAAATGGTGAGGTGACAGACTTCCTGAGCTTTTATACGCCTCCCTCCACCATCATGAACCATCCGACCCACAAGAGTCTAAAGGCTGCTTATTCTTTCTACAACGTCCACACCCAGCCCCTCTTCTAGACCTCATGAGCGACGCCCTTGTTCTCGCCAAAATGAAAGGGTTCGACGTGTTCAATGCACTGGATCTCAGGGAGCACAAAACCTTCCTGGAGAAGCTCCAGTTTGGCATAGGGGACGGCAACCTGCAGTATTACCTTTACAATTGGAAATGCCCCAGCATGGGAGCAGAGAAGGTTGGGCTGGTGTTACAGTAATCAGTTGCCAGTGAGATTCTGGATAAAGCCACTTAGAAGTCAAACCAGGAAATGGAACCCCACCACTTGTTGGTCCAATTTTCACAAACGTGAGAATCCCTGGCAAAGGGAACAGAACTGAACCGGCTTTACCAAACCGCCACTGAACTTGACAATTGTATTGCAATGGCATAGGCTGCGCAATGTCACCTCCAGCCGTGTCTCTGGTCTCCCTGTTTTCCAATTAATCACATCCTTCTGCAGCCGTGATCAAGGGAATGTAACTGCTGAAAACTAGCTCATGATTGGCATATTATGGAGTTAACGGGTGAATAATAAAAGTATATATATATTATATTAAAAAAAAAAAAAGACAAGCCACTTGAAAAATGACCCAGTCGATGTCTCAGGGCAACAAGGCTGCATCACCTGCTGACTCGAAGTCAAGGAACTAGGAGAGCAGTCAGATTTTTTTTTTTTTTAAGATTTTATTTATTTGACAGAGAGAGAGAGACAGCGAGAGAGGGAACATAAGCAGGGGGAGTGGGAGAGGGAGAAGCAGGCTTCCTGCTGAGAAGGGAGTCCAATGCGGGGCTCGATCTCAGGACCCTGGGACCATGACCTGAGCCGAAGGAAGACACTTAACTGAGCCACCCAGGTGCCCCGAGCAGTCACATCTTTAACAACACTGAGTTTTTGCTGCGCTGTGACAAGGAATGAAGAACAAAAAGCCACAGTCAGCACTAAAGAGAAGAGGAGGCTGGGACAGGGAGCCTGCCCGTCACATCCTGAATGTAAAGAGTCTGACTGATAAAAGACCTCCACCTGCGGGGCTCCTTACAAGCTCGGGGGAGGTTGGGGCCGGGCGGGGGGGGGGGGCCTGCTGCAGGCGCCTGAGGCTGGGGACCCACCTGACTTGGTCACAGAAGGAGAAGCGGCAGAGGTCTCCTTTATATTACAGCTGGCCCCTTGCAGGGAGCTCCCTTCATCTGTTTGGATGCCCAAATAGTCTCCAGAGCCGGGTCTCTACCTCCTCCCCACGACCCCAAGCCGCGGTTTCAGTTGTTGGGAGAAAGTGTGGTCACCCCCCTCGCGGGGGAGGCAACACCACCGTGGGCGAGGCCAGTCTCCTCTCCCTCACTCAGGGATTGCTCCACATTCTCCCCCTACTTTCCTTGGTGCCTGCACTCTGTGCCAACAGAAAGCCCTGCTCGCAGCACACACCCTGGCACCGGTTGCTTCTCTCTTCCACTCAGCACTAACACACTCAAGAAGACGTTTCTGTCCCAGATGGGAGCTCCAGTTTCCAGATGTCAGGCTTCTGTGCTGGGAGGCCTCTGAAATCGCTCCTCAACCTTCTGTGACTCACTAGGTACAACTGTTCCCACCTTTCCTGGGCACGTGGAGAGGGGAGGGGTATCAACTCTTACTGAGCACCTGTTATGACTCCCAGTTGTGCTGGCCCTTTTCAGATAAAAACATCTTATTGCGAGGAGAATCGTGAGTTAATATTATTCCCATTTTATAGAGAAAGAAAATGAGCTCTGGAGAGGCTGAGCAATTTGCCCATGATCACACAGCAAGTCCTTGCAGGAGACGAAGGGAAAAGACAAGAGGTTGATTCCAAATCCATCACAACCCAACCCCTTTCCACTGCTTCAGGCTGCCTCCTTCAAATTCTCACTCCCCAATTCTATTTCGCTGAGGAGTCAACAAAAATTCAGTGCCTCTCAAACTTTAGCAAGCACACAAATCACCCTTTACCATGGGATCTTGTTAAAATGCAGATTCCTGAGCAGCAGGTCTGGGAAGAGGCTGGAGGGTCTACATTTCTGACAAGCTCCCAGGAAATGCAGACGCCCCTGCCCAGCAGGAGGCCCGTGGCCAGGCCCAGAGTCTGCAGAGAGCCTGCTGAACTAGCACAGGCAGAACTTCCCGCCGTGTGCTACACGATAGACTCACGGTGACCCCACATCACGAGATGATGGTTCCTCTGTATCCTGCACTGTGTCAGGTTTGGGAGCCCCCAACCACAATTTATCCAGAGGAAGACCCTAGGACGTCCAGGGGTCCATATTCACACAGGAAAGAGACAGGAGAGAAGAGCCCATGGTTGGTCTGGAGAGAAACAGCCTGGGGAGGAGAAGGGCTGCCACTGGAGGGGACGAGAGGGCGCCTGGAGACTCCGTGGAAAACTGGAACCAGTGACTGGAAGTTCTCCGGAAGGGAAGGTTTCAATACACTGAAGCTCTTTCTAATGCATGGATCCCTCAAACCATGCAAAAGCACCTTACCAGTTAGGCTCACTGCCTCTGCAGGTTTTCAAGCATTGAATCAATGCTTCCTACTGATAGTAAAGAGTGGATTTCTTTTCAGACTAGTGCTTGAGATTGACCATCTTCAAGCTCTGTTTCCAATCCGTTGTTCTAGGATTCTAACTAGGACTCACATCTCATCTTTGGAGGAAGAGCCTGGCCTACGTTGAAACTTCTCCTATGCATCCCTACGTGTCAGACTGTTCTGGACGAATCCTGGCCTCCTTGGTGCCTTTTTCTCCTGGCTCCTCTCCATTGCTGAGCCTGTCGTGACGGAGAGAGTGAAGCGCATTATCACACAAACAAGTTACCTGGTCCAGCCGTCCTTCAGTGCCTCCGTGCAGAGCTGTGGGAGAAAGGAAGACAGCCACCATCACACACCCAAAAGCTCTCTCTCATCTAAGGAGTACCCCAGCTGTCTCTGATGTGCTTTCACAAACACTGGCTGCCGCATGAACCAGAGGAACAACCACATGTTGGTGAATTAAGAGCAGGAATGGCTTAGTCAACAGAGCATAACTCCTTGTACTTGTAGGACGACTTTTTTTCCTCATCTCTAGGGGAACAATTTCTTGAATTGTTCACAACATTCCTAGAAGGGAAATGGAGCATTTAGGTCCCCCCTCTTAAAGCGAGGATATTCTGCAGCATCCACAGAACGTGTGGATGTAAGGGAAACAAACAGAAGCTAGTCTTTCAGCTGTGTACAGGGTGGTGGGGAAGTCATAAATCAACCGGGCTCTGATGGCATGCTGTGTGCCAGCCACCGGGCTACGGGCCTTACACAACTCACAGCATTATTCGGAGTCCCCCAAACCACCCACGAGGTACGTATCATTTCCCCACTTCACAGTGAGGAAAACCGAGGTTCAGCATGGTTCGGTGAGCACAGTACCATGTGACCCTGCTGCCTCTGCCTGGGAATCAATCCCGGGCTGTCACCTTCCAGAAGCTGAGGTAGGACACACTAGGTCACAGAGTCTCACACCCACAATGTGAGTGGCTTTACTTCGCTCTGGTATAAGTACTTTCAGGATGGGGCCTTGGATCCATAATGATTTAGAAAGGCTAACAAGAAAATGCCAGAAAGCCAGGAATATAAAACCTGTCTACAAAACCAGGTTTCAGTGCCCACCTGCTTCAGCGTGTCATCGGAGTACCCCAGCCAGGCGCACGACGTGGTGTAGGCAGGGTAGCCGTGCATCAGCATTTGCCCTTCTGGGGAAACACAATGCTTGTCAACATTTTGTGCTTTCCAGGCACCTTCAGAATTACAACTGCCTTTAGCTAAGCTGCTCCCTCAGAGGATTCAGCCTGTTCTCCTGACCCTGCCTTTCATGTGCACCCAGCCCCAAGCCCAGCCTCTGGCCACATTCACAATCATGCAATTACCAAGGATGTCAAACTAGCCCAGATCTTCCTATTTGTCACACCCAGGGAGCTGCTTCATCCAGATGCAACCCTTTGTCAGAGGGCCTGGCTGCTGGGTATGGGGCATTTGGGAAGATGATGCAAACCCCAAGAGGACAGGGACCCTCAAAAGGACAATGAAAGCAAAAACAATCAAGGAAATTTCCTCACCACCCACCTCTCTCTTTTTTACCAACTTGACCTTTCTGCAGTATTTCTGGAAAAAAATAAGAAGCGTCATCACTTTTTCAGACAACAAAGCATGCTACTACATTATTTACACATCAGCAGGTACTAGAAAACTTCCACTTCCGTCACTCGAGTATGACTCACCATAGGCTTCCTCCTCGGTCAGGACGTCTGTGATGTACCTGAAATCGATGCAGGATAACAGCTCCCTGGGGTCCTGGCAGCGTCACAGGAGAGGGGAAAGGCCCAGGTCAATTCACAAGCAGCTTATGTTTCTAAGGATGGACTTACCTTTTCTGGGAAAGGGCCTTCAGGATTTATGTTAAATTGTTTGGTTCTGTCATTCCTTGGTACAGAGCTCTTCAGAGGGTCAGTGCCGCCTCCCCAAGATGTCCTCAGGCCCTCGTGCGGCAACCCCTCCCTCCCTCCTCACCCCTTCCCTCCCCTTCCCTCCCCTGACACTTAGGCTCCACCTGCCCAACTAACATGGCTCCTGGAAGGAGGACTGGGCAGGAGGCAAGCACTCAGCACGAGTTAAGTGGAGAGATGAGCGCCTGGCGTCCCTCTACATGTAGGTCATTGCTCCACACTTCAGGGCTGACCATGATCCTGGAGCAGCTCAGTGGGAGAGGAAAGAAGGTTGGTCTCAGAGCCGGGCCCTCCAGGGTCAACCCTGTGCCCACCGTTTATTAGCAGCCTGAGCGTGGGCCATCTTCTCTTGTCAAATTGGGACAATTCACTTCACCAACAGGAACAGAACGGATTCACCATGAGCGACCCAGCACACAGCCTGGCCCTGGACCATCACTGGCTGTTCTCTCTCCTGCTCTTCCTGCCCCTCATTCAATGCTCTGGCCACGCTGGCAAGGTGGACATCCTCGGCTGGGCCTCTGGCTGAGACCCCTCCCATCCCAGTCTAACAGCTGGGAAGCAACCAGTAGCTTCACTCCCACTCATGTTGTACTGTGACTAACAGTACTCCACTGGTCTGTTAAAAATCGTAAAAGCTGGGCACCCGGGTGGCTCAGTTGGTTAACCGTCTGCCTTCGGCTCAGGTCATGATCCCAGGGTCCTGGGATCGAGCCCTGCAACTGGCTCCCTGCTCAGCTGAGCGGGGGGTCTGCTTCTCCCTCTGCCCCCACCCCAGCTCGTGCTCATGTGCGCACGCTCTCTCTCAAAAATAAGCAAAATCTTTAAAAAAAAGTAAAAGCTCTTTCAATGCTGAGATTCTGCCCCTTTCAAGACTATTGGCCGCTACTGAAACAGGAAATAGGATCCAAAAGAATGAAGTCACAGGCATCTTCTCTAGTGGCCCTCAAATCATTCAGTTTTGGAAGCCACCTCCTACACCCCTCTGAAAGGCTGACCTTTAGCCTAAAGGCAGCTCATGTCCTTCCCCTTTGGATGGGGCCCCACGCCGCCAGCAACTATGTCAGACAGATGGTGTGACAGCCCGCCTCTTTATTTTCTCCCAGAGAAGAGGCAATGTCTGCCCACCTACAGTCTTCAAGGCCATGGTGTTCTTCGTGTTTCCTTAATTGTGATGCCAAATAATAACAGGGCCTTCATTTGTTGACCACCAGAGTTTTTAGCAACCACCATGCAAGACATCACCCTGAGGCAGCTAATGCTCAGAAGTTAAGTGACATGCCCAAGGTCAACCCGCCAGTAAGTGGTTGGAGCCCAGATTCAAAGCCAGGTCTGCCTGGGCCTGAAGTTCACTCCCCTTAACTTGTCCAGACTTTTTTCCTCCTCAGCTGCCAGGTGCTCGACCCTGCCATAAACAGGCCAAGGAAAAAGGAAACATCGAGGTGCCTATCTTCAGCATTTGGCTCCTTCCCTTCCAGAATCAGACAGTGGAGACCACCACAGTCTGATCCATCACTTTATTTTAAATTCAAAGTGACCAGATGATATCTTAATAATATCTTATGTATTATATAAGATAATAATATCTTACTAATAAAGTCTTGCTCTTCAGGAAGCACTTTTATCATTTGGTCTTTAAACAAATTCTATGAGGTTCTCAGAGAAGTGATGACTATCCCCTTTTCATAGTTAGGAAACAGAGGCTCAGAGAATTTGCATTACACATGAAAACTCCACAGTGGGGGGAGGCAGAACCTAAACTCAGTGCTTCCCTTGGACCACTCTGCCTATGTGAGCACAGCCAGCTGTTACTTCAAATATCAGAAAAGAAATACTAGGGGTTAGTGGGTGTTTGCTTTATCATTACTATGGTGATCCAGAGACAATCCTGAGTATATTTACCGATTATCAAAAGGCAAGTAATCTGTGAAGTCCATCTCATTTATGTTATAACGTTATTATAATTATTTAACATTATAATGTTAAAGAATTTACTTACCATGTCAACAAGTAACTTCCACAGAGGCTTGAAAAAAAAAAAAGAAAGAAAAGAATAGTAAAACATGTGTAAAGTACCCATTTTTTCCTGAAAGTAAATGCCAACACCAACTCTCAAACACCTGCCCTCTGGTCCACCTGCGTGCCGGGGTCTCTAACGCTGCCTCCTAACCCCTCACCTTTGCTGCCCTTCCATTTCTTTCTCAGCCCTTTTTAACCAACTCCTTTAGTTTCCTACCTACTGCCAGGGAGAAAAAGAATCAAACAATTCTCTATATTTCTCTTGGAGGCCTGCTGTGTATGTCTTCTGTCATCAGAAGGCTGCTCATAGAGGAAGTGTTCATCCCTCTGCCATGTGTTGGATTATTCCACAGAGACCCCCAAGTGCTCCTTCGATGAGTTACCTTTCCCTCCTGCTTGGCCCACAGGTCCCACACAGCGTTGAGAAGGGCTGCGGTAGCCAGATGCACAACACCTTTCTCAGGACCGATCTGGTTTTAGGAAGCAAAACACACCAGCACTTCTTAGAAATGAAAGAGATTTAGGTCTCCTAGCCAGGGACACATTTCAGGACTTAAAAGGCATCAGTAAAAGCTCATGTAGAGGTTAAGCTTTTTTTTTTTTAATAGTTTCTAACCTATAGAAAAATTGCAAGAACAGCACAAAAAACTCTTGCATATTCCCCCACCTCTATATATATGTAAATATATACACACACATATACATATACAAATAGAACATATAGAATATAAATAAAATTGATTTTACTGAACCATTTAAGTTGCAGCTATCATGCCTCTCGAACCCTAAAAACTGTGTAGGTCCTAAAAACAAGAATATTCTCTCACATAACCACAGTAGTACAATGATCAAATTCGGGGAAGAGGACATTGATAGAATACTACTGCCTAGAAGACAGGCTATAGTCAAATTCTGCCAATTGTCTCAATAATGTACTTTATTTTATTAACATATTGCCTTTGTTCTGCCTCTTTAGTCTCTTTTTGTCTGGAATAATTTTTCTCATTTTTTTTTAAGATGTGTTGCCATTTTTAAAGCACACAGGCTAGTGGACTTGTAACAGTGTCCCCAGTTTGGGTTGATCTGGGGTTCCTTCATGATTGGGATTCAGGTCACATTTTTTTGGCACAAGTTCTAAGCAGACAATAATGTCATTTTGGTTTTTTACTAGGGGTATGATCTTCCAGCCCTTAGGTAAGGCAGGGTCCACGGCATTGCTGCACTGTGAGGTTACCATTTTCCTTTTCTAAGTACAGAGATTTGGGCATGCATTGATGAATCTTGCCTCAATCAGTTATGGCTACAATATTTGTAATACAGTGATTGTCTAACATTATCATTCTTTTTACATTAAGTTTTTATTCTATTATAATGACAAGCTTTTCCTGGTTGCTTGTTCACTACCTTAAATGGACCCATGGATTCTTAGGTTTTTCCATGAGTTACAAGCCATTACTAACGTATTTATTTTGATCCTTGAATTGTCCCAGATTTGGCCAGTGGGAGTTTCTTCAAGGGAATGCCTTGAAAAGCAAGTTCAACGTGCTTTGCAGAAAGTTCAAAATGAAATCCACGGCAAGATGGCAAGTGCCTTGCCTTGTGCCTTTCTCCAGGCCTGGAGGAGAGCCTGAGCAGAAGCAGCAAAACACAGAGCTGACGTCAGAAGACAAGGGCAAGGACCCAGTTATTGGACTGACCTTAGTGGGATAGAATCCTTTCTCTAGAGCCTCACTCTTTTCATGCCTTGAACTTAGGGTTCAAAATACAGACCTTTACACATAAAAGTACTCTGGTCTCTATCTTCTTAACTTGGCTCTTCTCTTATGTTTCTGGCTTTAATAACTTCCCCCCCCCCCAACTCCAATACTACCCACATACTCTGTCACCTAGAAAGGCTGCCGATTCAGTACCTAATCTTCTAGAGGGTCTAGAACACTTCTTCCACTCAAGGAGTAGGCGTAGAGACGAAGTCCGTAGGGCTCTCAGGATCCAAATATGTCCAGATTCAAGTCTTACAGAAAGAAATCAATTTCCTCCAAACACTGTCTAAATGGTTCAAGCCCGAATTTCTCTCAAAACCATGTTTGACCTTAGAATTGTAAGCCTGTTTCTGTTTTCACATTTGTTGCCACCAAAGGACATCTTAGACCTTAGTAACATTACTCATAGAAGCATTTTATAAAATTGTCCCCTTACCCATCTGAGCTGCCCGTCGCTTGTGAGCTGCCTGTAGAAGCCTCTGAAGTCACCGACGATGTCCCTGAGGTCCTTGTTAAGCACATGGTGAGCGAGGGCATTCACAGCACAGACAACTATTAAGTAAGGATTCAATACTTGTGTATGTTTTGGTATGAAGTCAATAAATTAAGACATGAAAACACCACAAACTAATGTGGGTGTTTTATGAAAGAAACTTCAAATACATAAGGTACATATTTTTAAAAACTGTCCCAAATATGTCTTCTGTGTTTGTCGTAAGTAGTACATACATATGGAAGAGCTGTTAATCCATACATGGAGCTTCATTTGAGTAGAGCAAACATATTTTGAATGGTTGCCGTGCGAAAAACAGAGCCATCAATACAAAAGTTTAAGTCATACTCCCAATCTATTTTCTTATTCACGTTGGAAAGAGTCTGTACAGGCAGTTTCAAAACCAAACCTTGCTAGTTCATTGTTCCTAAGGAGTAAGAAGACCCTGACTTATCACCAAAAAAAAAAAAAAAAGAAGTACCTTCTAATTATTGTCAAGCATAGAAAATATCTTGAATTCACAATATAACACACAAAGATGAAATGAATTTGCAATAAGCATAATACTTACATGTAAAATGTTAAAGTACATGAAAACACTTTTCTTAAATATTACATTTCTTCCTATTGACTTACTTATGATATACTACTCTTTTCTTAAGTAATTTGAAAGTTAAATTTAATTTGGTTCAGCATGACCATTGTTTTTTTTTTGTTTTTGGTATTCTACTGAAGGCTTTATTGTGTTATTTCAGATGAAGAATAAGTAACAAATTGAATGGGAGAGACCCTTCTACCTTTTAGTCATTCTAGAAAAACACTTAGTCTCTATATCAATGGCCAAAATAATCAAATCAAGTCATCTGATTAGCCCCAAAGCAATTACTTTGCTACAAAAATTTCTGATAAACTTGTTTGGTGTTGCCATTTCTGCGATATGACTCAGACCATTTCATAGGACAGCTGGAGAGGTACAGTTTTACAGTCGGCCAGATCCTAGGAGAAAGACCGTTTCAGTATATGAAACATGCTGTCAGGACGTGCCTGGCCTCTACGTGGAGAGCACTCAGACGATTGCACACTTGCTGTTAAATACAGCGTTAGGGCTGGACCAACCATTCCATGTTCTCTAGGGCTTTTGTTAATGGAATATAGAATCATTCCAGTTCAGACATGTATTCCCTAGAACTGCGAGGAGACAGAATCCTCCTCACGCCTTAATGGTTGGTGCTCATAGATTAAAGACCTCTGCAGAGTCTGTCAGCAAGTCACAGAGAGGTACACCATTATCTAGTAAAACCTCCATCTCATTGATGAGATGGTGGTCAGAAATCACTGATGAAGCACACCTCCGGCTTGCCCCACATGGCAAACGCATTTAACACAAGACCTTCTCATTTACAGCTTCCAAGAGACGCAGCACTAATATATTCATCTAGAGTATGTAGACTGTCCTTGCTCAAAAGGAGGGCACTGCAAGAAACTAACTAAAATTTCATGCATTTGACAGAAATTTGGGTACTGGTGGTCATCCACTGTATGGGACAGTCTACTTCAGGTTTGCTTTGCTGCCATGGGTGGGAGATTTCATCTGGAAAAAACTGGCCATTGAAGGCAGTGCCTTGCTAACTAACTCCTTGGGATCCCCTGACTCGGGAAGGACATGTCCGTAAAGCCTATGAATGACCATGGGTGCCTGAGCCCGAGGGCTGGTGTGAACACTTACAGCTCTTTTTGTCTCTTTAGAAATTCTTCTTTCTCCATCTTTTTTTCCTCTATTAAAAAAAAAAAACTATATTGGTTTATTCTATTAAAAAAATAACTAAAACCCTCCCTCCCTTTCGCACACACACATTCTAGCACTACCTTCACAGTAATGAGGAAACCACTATTTCTTTTTTTTTTTTCCAATCATAAAAGAATGAACTACCAGGTAAGTAGGCTGACAAAGGCACAGAAGAACTGTGATGAGCTAATGGAATTTTTTTCAACTTTAATGTGAATGCCATGTAACACATTCAGTGAGACCGTGGTAAATTGCCTGAAATATGGAGCAAGGTTAAAGTTAAAATGGGTTCTGTGATGTTGTGGTCGACAAAAGGCGGAAGCCGACTACATCACCGCAAAAGAGCCGTTTATTAAAGGCATAGAGAGATGGAAATTGATTCACACCGGGCCGAGATGCCCATCAGGACGGCTCGGGGATGGGAGTGGAGGAGGGACAGGTCAGTGAAGGCCCCAAAGCACAGAGCTCAGCAACCAGGGAGAGGAGCCTCCTACCTCCTATCTCGTGTCTTAGTGAGCACACAGGGTCCCTCCACCTCGCTCCCGAGTCAGCAAAGTTCAAAGTCTCGGCTATTAACAGAGTGGTTCCAGTGGCCGTTCCCTAACATATTTTGTAAGCTTGCTGAGTGTTACACAACCTTTGGAGGCCGCCCTATATGGTCTGCAGTATGGAGAAGGCGGCTTCATAAAGTACTCGACTTACACCAGAGACAAAGTTGCAGGAGAAGCTGACACACGGCTCACAAACCTGTCGTGGTCAGCAGGCACTGCCTTACGGAAAACATTAACAGCAATGGTTGACTTAAGGGGGAGGGATTCAGGGAGTAGTTGCCGAGTCTGCTCCGGCTACCTGGCAAATTCCTAGCTTCAAGGAATAATCTTCAAGACTAATCTCACAGGCTCACCTCTGTTCTGAAGCTGCCCAAGACCCTCCTGGACAATGAACTCACCTTCTCTCTGTACAACTTGTACCAGCTTTTAAAGAACTGTTCTTCTCACACTTGCATGATCCTTTCTCCTATGGCTGTGTCCCTGAGAAATCTGTGCATTCCTTCTCTGTGTATGCAGGATTTTGTCCCCTTTCTCTATCTCACTAAAATGATCTCTCCAGTGCCTGACACGTGGGCGCGCTCAAGGGAAGTCTCTTACAGACCTGGCTGAGGGCACGACTGAAGGCCAGCCCTGTGAAGAGTGGAATAGTGGCCACCTCGCATCCACTTAAAGTGCAAGAAAGGTTCCCTTGTCCTCACACACACACACACACACACGGGCACGCGTGTACACACTCACCTTTCATCTGCTTGACAATATTAGAATCTTTCAGTGGGGCAAGACTTCTATTGTACATCTAAGGGAGAGGTGACAGTGCAAATATCCATGGGAGAGGTTCTACTGCATCACCACCAAATTTAGAGAATCTGTTTCCTTCCTTTTTAGATCCTCACACCTCAACTGTCATCATTTGGCTTCAGACCCTAATGATCCATAGAAATTGATCTGGCAAAGGTCACCTTTTGTACTTCTTGCATTTTGTACCTTGTACGTGGATTAAGTATTTCAAAACAAAAATCAAACAAATAATTTGTATTTAAATGGTGTGGAAAGAGGGATGCCTGGGTGGCTCAGTCAGTTAAGCTTCTGCTTTCGGCTCAGGTCATGATCTCAGGGTCCTGGGATCGAGCCCCGCATCGGGCTCTCTGCTCAGCGGGGAGCCTGCTTCTCCCTCTATGTTCTCTCTCTTTCTCTCAAATAAATAAATAAAATCTTTTTTTAAAATGTTGTGGAAAGAAAGCACTTCAGGGAGTGGCTAGCTGAGCAGCTATCTGGGCCTCAATCTCCTTATCTAAAAAATGAGGGGCCTCAAGACCCCCACTGAGCTCTCTCCAATTCTGAGAGAACTGCACTCATAGCCCAATGCACAACCTGCTTTGCCCAGATACCAGCTCTGAAACAGGGCAGCCAGAGGCCCTTCCGCCATGAGGAGCAGTGGGCCTGAAACCATTCGCTGTGCAGTACTTTGAAGAGCAAGTGGCTCACTGTGAACATCCCAATAAGCCTTGCTACACAAGTGCCCATCTGTCCCTGTTATGTCCCTCAGCCGCCCACCTAGCTCAGGCAGAGAAACAGGCCGAGGTTCACGGATATGAACGCAGTCCATTGACCCCTGCAAGGAGAAGGGCCGAGTTCTGCTGCCTTTTCATTTCTCCCCATGAAACAAATAATAAACCACAAAACATTGTCTTTACTCACCCTGAACAGTGAAAATACAGAGAAAAGTAAGGTCATAACTGGAATCTAAGTGAAAACGAAGCATTCCAGAACCTTAACGAGAATGTTCAACTCACCAACTTCCGTGCCTTTTCCCAGAGTGAAGGTAAGCCCGTACCCCTTGAGCCCGTCTTCCGCATCAGTCTCTAAGACGACATAGGCAGCCGAGTAGTCAGGGTCTGTGTGCTGCAGGAGAAATGCACCCCGCCCCACAAGGCAAACATGAGAAACCCAAAGGTACCCCTCAGTACATCACATAAGACTAGAAAACGCAACAGGGGATGTGCAAGAGGAGCTCAGACTCTGATGCTCGAGTCTGAAGCCTTGGTGTGCCCCCACCCCCCCAAAAATGGAGGAGTTCTGAATGGACAAAGGGGAAGTCCACCCGACAGACTCATATCATTTTAACAAGGGCAATGTGTACATTTTCAGTGCCAGTTTGCCATTAGGCCTCCTCTGATGATCAGCTCAGATTTTAATCCAGGAGTTTTCACCTAAGCTACCTCTGCCAGCTCTCTGAACAGAGCTGTATTCACAAGCAGCCTCAAACGGAAGCAGCCAAGGCTTCAGAAAGCCTCACAGAAAACTGGACTTATCTTTGCTGCAGTCTGGTAGCAGGGCTAAAAAGATAACGGCGCTGGTTCAGAGATCCCTGGGGGGAAACAAAGAATTAAAACTTAAGGACAAACTAGCCCGCTTTTTGTTTTGTTCTTTTTAAAACTTGCTACTATCAAATGGTATTTTGGTAAGTGTTTACTGACCGACTGTGATGAAACTCAACCCTACCTGTTGATATGGGGGATGGGGGACGCAGAAGTGAAAAAACCAGTCTGTCTCCAGAAATTTCCCCTCAGTAGGGAGAAGCAGCAGGTGACAACTACTGTGTGGTCAGTGAGAAGTGCCCAGGAAGAGCAAGGGAGCAAGCAAAGAGGAAGCAGGGGACTGAGACACTGGGGTGGGCGAGGAGACAAGTGAAGGCAGGGGCAAGGGAGGGCCATAGGAAAACCCAAGCCTTGTGAGACAGAAGTGAAAGGCCCCTGGGCCACCGGGTGGCAAGTGAGTGAAGACAAGACTGGATAGGTGGTGTGGGGGCAGATAATGGAGACCCCCAAAAGCCAGGCAGAAGATCCGAATGCATCAATAAGGAATGTAGGATGCAACTATTGATGTTTTTTGCATAGGGCGGTGACAATTGATTACTGTTTTTATTGTTATTATTACTACACAGTATTTGTTGCTCTGAAAAACTATTTTAAAAGCTACTTGATTTAATTTAATCCTCACAACAATATTCTAAAGTAGGTGCTATTGTCCCTGACAGATACGGAAACTGAGTTTATTTTTTTAAAGATTATATTTATTTGAGAGAGAGCAGGTGAGAGAGAGACAGCATGAGCTGGGGGTAGGGAGGGGCAGAGGGAGAGAAGCAGACTCTCCACTGAGCAGGGAGCCCCACGTGAGGCTCTATCCCAGAACCCCAGGATCATGACCTGAGCTGAAGGCAGATGCTCAACCGACTGAGGCACCGAGGTGCCCCAGAAACTGAGTTTAAAGAAGCAGAATTTAAATCCCTGCGCTCAGGGAAGGGGAGGAGGTACACAGAAGGCCTTTGTCTGGCATCAAAGCCTAGGGGAGGGCATTTGGTGTGAAGGGTTGCTGGGCACCATCTGCATACCACAGGTTGTGCAGGCTGCTGAGGGGGCACACACACATCTGCCCTGAAGAAAGTTATAGTTTAGGGGCATCTGGGTGGCTCCGTCGGTTGGGCATCTGCCTTCAGCTCAGGTCATGATCCCGGGTCCTGGGATCGAGCCCTGCGTTGGGTTCCCTGCTCAGTGGGGAGCTTGTTGTCCTTCTCTCTCTGCTGTTCCTCCTGCTCGTGCTCTCTTTCTCTCAAATAAATAAAATCTTTAAAAAAAGATAAAGTGGGGCACCTGGGTGGCACAGTCGTTAAGCGTCTGCCTTCGGCTCAGGTCATGATCCCAGGGTCCTGGGATCCAGCGCCGCATCGGGCTCCCTGCTCCACAGGAAGCCTGCTTCTCCCTCTCCAGCTCCCCCTGCTTGTGTTCCCTCTCTCGTTGTGCCTCTCTCTGTCAAATAAATAAATAAAATCTTTAAAAAAAATAGAAATTAAAAATAAAATAAAATAAAATAAATACATAAATAGAAAGTTATGGGAGCCTGGGTGGTTCAGTTGGTTAAGCGACTGCCTTTGGCTCAGGTCATGATCCTGGAGTCCCAGGATCGAGTCCCTGAGCAGGGAGCCTGCTTCTCCCTCTGACCTCCCCCCCTCTCTCTTGCTCTCTCTCAAATAAATAAATAAAATCTTAAAGAGAGAGAGAAAGTTATAGTTTAGAAGCCATGGTTATAGAAACTCTAATAGCAAGAGGCAGGACATGGTAAGTCTCTGGGAGAGATACAAACTATGGAAGCCAGGCAGAGAGCACTATGAGCGGGGTGCATTTGAAACTGGAGGAGATTTTATGATGAAAATAGAATCTGAGCTGGTTGGTTGAGGATGGGGAGCTTTCCAGTAGTGGGAGAGGGTACGAAGGACCTGGGACGGAAGAATCACCTTTGGTGACAGTGGCAGTGAAGAGACAGAAAAGGGCAAGACTGGAATGTATTTAAGGGTTGGTGACACCCTGGTTTGGCCCCTGGGTTCCCGCAAGGGAAGATCCAGAAATGAGATCTGGAATCACTGGCATACAAGTGAGCACCAACTGTACACACAGAGGGAGGGGGTCTTACCGGGAGCGAACCGTGAGACAGGAGGGCCCTTGGGGCCTGAGCCCTGCAGAGGGAAGAAGGAAGCCAGTAAGGAAGCAGCCGAAGTCAGCTAGGATGTAGAAGTCATGGCCGGAGGCAGCCGACAACGTGACCCGTAGCCCCTGAGAAAGGACCCTGGAAGCCGAAATAACAGTCAATCCCAAGAGAAGGAAGGAGACAGAAGTTGATTTCAGATGAAGGAGAAAGTAAGCGTAAAGGTTGGAGACAACAGGGATGAACCAGTAATTTAGTCTTTGGTGGGGAAGGAGCGGACACAGAAGGAAGAAGAGAGATGTTAGGGTCAAGGAAAGGTGATTCCAAAGTGGGAATCCCTGTCTCTATGGGATAGAAAAGGAACCCCTGGGAAAAGAGACTGAGGAAGAAAATACTGGAGATGGAGGGGATGAGAGTGGGCGCCTCGGCAGTCAAGAAGGGTGGGGATGGGGACACGGAATAGATTCATCTGGGAGGACAGGACTCACAGAACAAAGGGAAAGATGAGAGGGCTGGTTTGGAGGCTGATGGGTGGAGATGGGGCCCACGGTGCATTTGTCTTCAGTCTTCTCCGTGATGCAGTGGGCAGTTCTCTAACTGCTGGGGGTGTGGGAATGGGAGCCGGAGGAGGGAGAGAGTGGTCTGGGAGCACAGCCACTCCTGGGAGCTCAGCAGACAATGGGGAAAGGACAGGGAAAGTATGACTGGCTGGGAAGTGGGGGGGTGGGAGGGTGTCAGCTGGAGCTGGGCTATGAGCCGACAGCCCTGGAGCTCTCTGGAACCTTGATGAGTGCCTCAACAAGCAAGCAATTTATAAGTACAGGCCTGAGTGCTCCATGTTTCCTAAAAGGCCGGTAAAAAAAAAAAAAAAAAATCACAGCTGAATCCTTTACTCTTAACAGATTTGGGGGCAGTTTCAGGGCTCCTTCATGAAAATATTCTGCTTCTAAGTGCTAAACAGAGCTGAAGTGCTGAGTTCAGCATGTCGTGAGGGTTTGGGATGCAATACCACCCAGAACTGCAAAGTAGCGCATTCTATTAAGAAGGCACATGAGAATCAGCACACAACACACCCCATATCTCTGGAAGATAAATACAAGTATATTTTTTTAAAGATTTTATTTATTTATTCACGAGAGACAGAGAGGGAGAGAGAGAGAGAGAGAAGCAGAGGGAGAAGCAGGCTCCCAAGGAGCAGGGAGCCCGATGCGGGACTCGATCCCAGGACCCTGGGATCATGACCTGAGCCGAAGGCAGACGCTCAACCATCTGAGCCACCCAGGCGCCCAATACATAAGTATTTATGAGTTTGCAATACAGGTATCAGAGAACCTCTCTTGACCCTGAGGTCATAAACAACTTAGGCCCAGACACAAATTCCATTTAAAACTATTCTACTTAAAACCGGGCTACTTTAACACTTCACAAATTCAAAGCAGAGAAAAAGCTAGGCCAGAGGCCCTTCTACTTCAGTCTCCTCATACGTAAATAATTACAGACAATACTTTTTGATGGCTTTCTCTGTATTAGGCACCCGATGGGCATCTCATTTATTACATGAAGCAGATATTATTATACCTATGTCACCGGTAAGAAAACTGAGACCTTGGAAAGAGCCCTGATGTCCATCGACAGATGAATGGATAAAGTAGACAGAACTAGAGGCTATTATGCTAAGCGAAATAAGTCAATCAGAGAAAGAATTATCATATGATCTCACTGATGTGTGTAATTTAAGAAACAAAACATAGGATCATGGGGGAAGAGAGGAAAAACATAAAACAAGATGAAACCAGAGAGGGAGACAAACCATAAGAGACTTTTTTTTTTAAAAAGATTTTATTTATTTATTTGACAGAGACACAGCGAGAGAGGGAACACAAGCAGGGGGAGTGGGAGAGGGAGAAGCAGGCTTCCCGCGGAGCAGGGAGCCTGATGCGGGGCTCGATCCCCGGACCAATCATGACATGAGCCGAAGGCCGACGCTCAACAACTGAGCCACCCAGGCGCCCCACCAGAAGAGACTCTTAATCATAGGAAAAAACTGAGGGTTGCTGGAGGGCAGGGGGTGGGGGAAGTGGTAACTGGCTGATGGATATTAAGGAGGGCACATGTAATGAACACTGGGTGCTATATGCAACTGATGAATCACTGACCTTGACCTCTGAAACCAATAATACATTATATGTTAATTAACTGAATTTAAAATTTAAAAATGGAAAAAAAAAAGGAAAACCAAAGCTTAAGAGAGTGGTTTAACCCACAGCGGCTACACATCAGAGGGGCAAAGTGGTTGCATTAGATCAAGTGTTTGAATTTTACAAGCCAATGAAATTTCAAACACTTATTTGGAGATCCACAAAGGATTGCCAACTGGGTGTTTGTTTTTTTTTTTTTTAAGTCATTTAACATAAGGAACACAAAGATTTTAAAAAGTGGGGGTAACTTAATCTCAGAATAAAGGACATTTAAACGTAATAACTTTGCTTAGTCAGCATTTTTAAAAAGATTTATTTCATTTTTTTGACAGAGAGAGAGCGAGAGAGGGAACACAAGCAGCGGGAGTGGGAGAGGAAGAAGCAGGCTTCCCGCCGAGCAGGGAGCCCGATGCGGGGCTCGATCCCAGGACCCTGGGATCATGACCTGAGCTGAAGGCAGACGCTTAACAACTGAGCCACCCAGGCGCCCCACAAATCCCTTCTAACAGTATTTTCAGGTAATTTCATGACAGCCCCCCTCACATGCCCCAGAATTACAACGAGCTTGTTTGTCTGCTTTCCCAGCCAGAGTGTGACTCCATTTCACAGATGGGCCCAAGATGCCCAGAGAGGTTAGCGTCTTCTCTAGGTCACACAGCAAGTTGTGGAGAGGGCAGGGTCATCACCTAAAACACCCAGGCCCACCACCACGAACCCCACCAAGATTTCAGTGCAGAAGAAGCCAGCATGTGTTCTAGGGTTTCGTGGGTGGGGATACAACAAAAGCATTACGCTGTTGTTGCTTATTACGCATTCTACCATTTCCAGCAAAATACGAATCATAAATGTAACAACAGGAAGTGTAAAACGTCAACAAAGAAAAAATAAGGAAAGTAAAAAAAAAAAAAAAAAAAGCCCAGGAGTTGTGGAGAGTTTCGGGTTACTTTTATTCCCTTTCCCTTCCCGGCCTCCCCCTTTGCAAAAGCAACGGTTCCAAAGTGGGGAACCTCCACGACCCGCTGGGCTCCCTGCGCGTACGTGGGCCTGGATGTCCGCGGGAAGAGGCACCTGGCTGTCGCTCAGCGCTTACCATGGCGTCGGAGCCGTGGCCGCCCAGCGACGTGGGGAAGCGCACGTCGCGCACCAAGAGTCTGCAGATCCTGCCGCGCACCATGTCGCCGCGCACCCGGAGCTGCCCGCGCCGCCAATTCCGCTTTGGACCCTGTGCGCCGCGAGAGGGGCGGAGCCCGGCCCCGCAGGCGCTGATTGGCCGCGCACGAGAACTTGACCGGACCCGAGTAGCAGGCCAGGATCCCGGCTACCCTGGACGCCCTGGCGGTTTCCACCGCGTCTGCAACGGTGTGCTGGCCCGCACCGCCCTCGCGCGGATTTGCTGCGGGTCGCGGAAGACCCGGGACTGGGGTGGGGCGGGGTGTCCCGCGCTGCGTCGGCGTTTTGGCAAGACCGTGCCCCGCCCGGACTGGAAACTCGAGAAGTAACTTTCCCCGGAGCGGCGTCCAAGAGGAAGGAGCAGGGTCTGAACAAAGTTCCGTCGCCCAATAGCACAGTTGGGCCACGGACTCCACTCTTGACCCAAGTCAATGCTGGCGCAGCCTGGGGAGACGCTAGAAAATCCTAGGTGTCTTTAAGTGACCTCAGCCCGTTTACCTGATAAATTAAGAAGCAAATCACCCTTTATTACACCCTTTCTGAGGAGGAGTGGTTTAAATACATTACCTCTTACCCGTCCAGCCCTGCAAGGTGGTGTAGAGATGAGATTCAGAGAGATTAAGTGACTGGCTCGAGGCTACACAGCTGAAGTTATGTAAATGGCAGAGTGATCCGGCTGCAAATCCTCGGCTCTGTCCTCTGGACTGCAGGGACTGTTTAAGAGGGAACTTGGTGAAAGCTATGGATTAGAAGGCACATTGATCCTTTGCTTTGAAGTACAGCACACACCCTTTCAGTTCCTACTTTTGGGGCATGCTTTGAAGAATAAATGTTTGGGAAGCACTGCTACAGACGTTATTCTATCGATTTGTGTTTATCTGGGTCTGACAGGGATATTTTCAGGGATGCCCAGGACACCTCTGCTCCTTAAGTATGCATATAACCCTGCTGGATGAATTCCTTAGGCTTAAGTGAAGCAATAGGCCACTGGGACTGCAGTTAAGGGCCTTTACTCTTTGAAAGCAGTAGCCAGTTAGCGCCGGCTTATAGTGGTCCAGTGGGAATTAGAGCCCTGGATTGCTTTATGTTCTCATTTTCCAAGAGAAGTCTGAAATTCAAATGTTAATGTGAAATAGCCTTTTTCCCTGCCCTGCTCTACCCACGTTTGTGTGTGGCTGGAATATATGCTCAAATCACTTTTTCAGAATGGGTCTGTGGCCTGGTTAATAAATTCTGAGTACTTTGTATTCTGAAGATGCCCTTTTCTTTTGGATTTGAATGCTGGTTTTATTATATAAAAGTCTTAGTTCAAATTAATACTTTAGTGTTAAGTCCCTTTTTTTTGTTTGTTTTGAGAGGAAGAGAGGAGTGTCGGAAGGGCAGAGGGAGGGAGAATCTTAAGCAAGCTACACCTTGGGCATGGAGCTGGACATGGGGCTCCATCTCACAGACCTGAGATCATGACCTGAGCTGAAACCGAGTTGGATGCTCAGCCGAGCCACCCAGGTGTCCCTAAGTCCCGTTCTTTAAAGAATAAGCTGGGTGGGGTTTTAACCCCCTCAAGAAAGAGTTTGGATTTTCTCCTAATGGCTTTAAAATATCACTCTTTGTGTTTAGGATTAATTTAAAAATTAATTCTGTTCTACAGTTGAGGGTTCCTTTCAACCAGAAGCAATATATTTCTCTGGAAAATGTTTCTGTATTTCTTTCATTAGTTCTTCCTCTTCATTCTTTTGTTTTCTTCATCTGGAACTTAATTGGATTGATAATTGATCTTCTGAATCTATTATCCACCCAGGGAGAAAAAAAAACTTTTTGACTCTGTTCTTTTGTACTGAATTCTGGGTATGTTCTTTGGCTTAATAATACAACTCAGATTTGATCTCCAACTGTGTTTCTTCTTTTACTCCAATTCTTTTTCCTTTGGTGTTGGATTTTTTCCATCTGTTTTGAATTTCCAAATTTTCATAGTACGGTTGTCCCCTCTTATCAGCAGGGGACACATTCCAAGACCTCCCCCCACTCAGTGGATGACTGAAACCACACTTAGTACCAAACCTTAGATATGCTATGTTTTGTTTATACATACATACCTATGATAAAGTTTAATTTATAAGTTAGGCACAGTAAGATTAATAATAAAATAGAATTATATCAATATACAAATAAAAGTGAATGTGGTCTCTCAAAAAAATCTTTTTGTACTGTACTCACCCTTCTTGTGATGCTCTGAGATAAAATGTCTACATGATGACATGAGGTGAACGACTAGGGATTTTCGCAGTGTTAGGCTATTGACCTTCTGAGGATTCATCAGGAAGATCATCTGCTTCTGGGCAGCAGGCTAGCCACAGGTGACTAAAATCAGGGAAAGCAAAACCACAGATGAGGGGACTAGTGTACCTTCACCTCTTTTGAAAAAAATGGATGCCACACCTTCTCAAAACAGTTTTAATTAGTTGCCTCCATTAAGTTTGGTTCTTTAGGAGTTAGTTTTGGTTGTTGATTTCTTTTCCTTTATAGTGGTTTTCTTCACATTGGTGTTCATATGCCCATTTTTTTCTCCTAAGTCCGTTAATATTAATTGTTGAGAATCACATTTTGCCTTTCTGTGAAGCTAGGACTTGAAGACCTGTGTCTGGTGGTTGTGGAAGAGGGGGACACATGGCAGCACAGGTATGTCAGCAGGTTTTCTTCTAGGTGAGGTGGCCTGTGTCCCTTCTGAGTTTTCAGAGTTGGATCCCAGGGGTAAATTTCAGAATAAACTACTCCATTTTCTGTTGCCCTTGTGGTGATCAGGGTTTACTTTAGGATCTGCTTGCTTTCCTCACCAGCCCCCAGATTCCATCTAGGACTCTCCCAAGGCAAACTGTGAACTTTGTTTTGAAAACTGTTAGTATTGTTATCAGCTTATTATACCAGGACAGGCCTACCCAGCCATTCCAAATGTTGCCCTCTAATTAATGACCCTAAAAAAAAAAATCACTATAATTAATAGCTCTCTTACTTCTAGGAAAAATAAAGTAACAAGGACAGGATTTATACTACCATCTTAGCCAGAAAACCAGCTCAAATATTTGAAAGGACTTCAGACAATGGACCATAGGGAGAACAAGACTGACCTCAGAGAGAAGGGAAACAAAAAACCCTGCAATTGTCCCAACTCACTGTCTACAGGCTACAGCACAGAGCGGGGGAGGGGGGGGACGGGACAAACAGAGCCTGCAGTGTTACTGAGTTGAGGAGACAAAAATTAGTGTTTATTTATATTAGTGGAGGCCAATGAGGCTATAGTCTGAGAGGGAGAGAACAGAAGGACCCCTTCTAAACTTTGGTTGAGTACTGATAGGCACATGAATGAGAGAAAACTACTCAAATTTAAGAGACACTAGAAAGAACAGGCAAGAAAATTATTGGCAGCAGGGGTGGGGGTGGTGGTGTGTGGGTGGCTCAGTCGGTTAAGTGTCTGCCTTTGGCTCAGGTCATGATCTCAGGGTCCTGGGATCAAGCCCCACCGCCACCGCATTGCATCAGGCTCTGTGCTCAGCAGGGAGTCTGCCTCTCCCTATTCCTTTGCCCTCCCCCGCTCATGCTTGCTCTCTCTTGCACACACGCACTTGCTCTCTCTCTCAAATAAATAAAATCTTTAAAAAAAATTATTGGCAGTTGCACAGGGTTAGGAATAGTACCTGTCCCTGATAGTAAAGATCTGGTAATAATACATGAAACATTAGGTAGAATCCTCAGCAGGGTAGAGATCAAATCCTCTAAGATTAAAGATTGCTTTGGACCTAACAGAGCTTTAATGTATACCTTGAAAGGATTCAACTGATTCCAAGTAAAGACAAGACAAAACAATCCCTAGAGGTTGTCCCCGCCAGCCAGAGTAGAAAATGCGCATGAAATCAAAATTCAACATTATTTAAAAGAATTTTTAAAAAATTTCAGCAACCCAAAACTTTAATTTACATTGTTTAGCACCCAACCAAAATCACTGGGCATATATAAAAGTAGAAACATATAGTCCCATACAGGAGAAAGTTTAATAGAAACAGACCCAACAGTCCTAATATCCAGATAAAAACCTTCAAGATGGTAAAGGAAAATGTAAGCATAATGAAGAGAGGTATGAACGATAAAAAAAAAAAATGAAAGCTAGAATTTCTAAGATAAAAAACATACACCATATGGGATTGAAAGCAGAACAGACACTCCAAAGAAAAGATTAGTGAATATGAAGACAAAGCAAAATAAAGTATCCAAAACGAAGCACAAAGATTAAACAGAAAAAAGAAAAGGACAAAGCATCCATGACCTGTGACACAATATTAAATGGCCTGACATACATGTAACTTAAGTCCCAGAAGTAAGAAAAACAAGTTGAAAAAGAACAGCCCCAAATTTTCCAACTTTGATAAAACTGTAAACCCACTGAATCAAGAAGCTCAAAGAACCCCAAGTAGAATAATCTTTAAGAAAGTTGTGCAGAGGCATATCATAAATAAATTGCTAAAAACCAAGAATAAAGAGGCTGTATTTTTAAAATACAGAGGGGGAGAAAAGACCCTTTACATATAGAAGAATAAAGTTGAGGACAACAGACTTTTTGTCAGAAATAATTCAAGTTAGAAGAGAGTGAAGAGACTTCTGTAAAGTACTACAGAAAACCATCAACCAAGAATTCTTAACTGAGCTAAAACATATTTCAAAAAGGAAGTCAAACAAAAACTTTTAAATGCAGTGCTATCAGATCTGTGCACCTAGAAATATTAAAAGAAGCTCTTAAGGAGAAGGGAAATGATACCAGATGGAAATTTGGTTTTAGCCAAAGGAATATTACCAGGGTTAATGGAGACATTTAATGATGATAAAATGGTCAATTTATCATGAAGCACAACAATACTAATGTATATGCACCTAGTAAGAGCTACATAATACATAAAAAGACCAAATTAAAAGGAAAAACAGAAAAATCTACCACCACAGTTGAGGATTCTAACATTCCTCTCAGTAACTGACAGAAAATAGGCAGAAAAGCAATATGAACACAGAAGATTAAGCTACACCATCAACTTGACCAAATTGACACTTGCTGAAAACTCCAGCTAACAAAAGCAAGATGCATAATATTTCAAGTACTCATAGAACATTCATCAAGGTAGAATATTCTGCGCCACAATTTTAATATAGTT